AACTCGTAAAGAAAGTTCTAGCAGCAGACCGCCAAGAGCTTTGGAAAAACTGTGTTGAACATGTTATCAAAGAAGAAGATGAGTATGTAGTATTACCACAGCTTATACAATACAGCTAAAACACTCTCTTGGCGGCAACGGTTTGCGTCGATTTCGTCGCGCATCGCTTAAGCTCCGCCTTCGAAGGGAAAAGACGGTTTTGGCGTTCAGAAGTGTACTTAGGTAAGGTGTTGAGTCGTGCGTATAATTTCGTTGATTGTATAATTTCGTGGAGCCTATAATTTCGTAGATTTTGTTTGAGTTAAAGGTACTGTTATTATTTTGGTGACTCTTTAGCTGTGAGTAGAATGAATGAAAAAAAGACATCATTCTGTTTGTGCAGTCAAAAGCTGTTTTAATAAGGGTTATACCTGCAAGAAAACATTCTTTAGTTTTCCCAAGGACCCAAACCGATAAGTACCACATTATAAGAAATTTTCATTGTTAAAAATATAATTTATACAGGGTGTCCCATTAGTGCGTTATTGTTCATTATTTTGTTGTAGACACGCAAGAAAGTTTTAAATAAAAGTTATATGGATTTGAAAAATACCTACATATTTTAAAAATATCTTTGGATATACAGGGTGTCACGTTTTTGCCTGGCAAATTAAAATGTATGTTTTTTAAATGGAACACCTTGTATTTTATTTTATGATGAAATTATTAACACCCTAAATTATTGTAAAGACGAATTGCTACAGAAAATTTTTATCAGGTATGTGTGTGGTTACCTTTTAATAAAAGCCTTGCGGATCCACTCCTGCAATACCTGTCTTAAATATAACAAAGATCACGTTGAAATAGATGATTTTTCTTTTTATTGCTTTTTAAAGGCATATGATAACGCCAATTCAGATACATTTGGAAATCTGCAACTGTCAAATGATGAATTTGTAGAACTAATATTCAAAATTGAAAAGATATTTCAAAATAATTTTGAAGAATTGGCTACAAAAAATAACATTTGTACCACACTTTTAGAATTAATTAACCCAATACCCTTTAGTTATCCATGCTAACGTTTTCCAAAAGAATAACTTATTTTATTGTATGTTTAATCTCAATAACTAAAAAATATACTGACAATTAGTTTGACAGAATTGTCATTTATTTAAAATTTTAAAAATAATAGCAGTCGGTTGATCAAAATATGAACGGTGATTGGCGAATTTATTTTTTTTTGCAGTGTTCTCACTACCTAGAATGGATATGAAATATATTCGTTCAATTGAAGGCAATAGCATACTTTTTCGTTTTGTAATCTGTGCATGGATATTAGCCAATCTACGCACATACTACAAAACGAAAAAGTATGTTATTGTGTTCAACTACGAATATATTTCATATCCATTTTAGGTAGTAAGAACACTTTAACAAAATTAAATCTACAAATCACAGTTCATATTTTGGTCACCCAACTCCTATTATTTAAATTTTTTTAAATAAGTGACAATTCTGTTAAATTAATTGTCAATATATATTTTAGTTATTGATATTAAATATACATTAAAATTTTTGTGCAGACTCGATAAATAATAGCATTTTTGTTTCTATTGTGTCCACATTTAAAAAAAAAATAAATTTTAATTAAACTACATGATACTAATTTAATTACGAGTCCTAAAGTCCTGAAAGTTTCGGTGAAGATGAAGACAGATCATCTGCCTTCCACGCGAAAAGTCCGGGATCGAATCTAGGCCGAGGACTAATTAATTTTTCATGTTTATTTTATTTTATAAATTAGTCAACTTCGTAAATTATTTTAAAATTAGTTATTTTGTCTAAATAACCTAAAATAATTTTTTAAATTTGTAGATATTCGTTAGTGGGTCGTAGAAAAAATATACTGACCATATCGAGTAGATTGTTCATATCACAATCAGACGATTGAGTTCTCCGCCTACGACGTCGTGCTCAAACTTCGTCTTTGTGTGATATGGCTATCATATCCACCCTTGTTGAACAAACTACAATTTATTTGTTTTCTTGGTTTAAGTTTTACATCAGAAATAGGAATTAAATTAATTTACTTTTCAAGTTTTCTTGTAAAAATCGATATAACTTTCTCCAAGTACAAATTTAGTACCTACCTAAAATAAGTACTAATTATGTTATATCTTGTAATATTGTAATTCAAATTTCACATTACTATAAAGTTTTAAAATTTCCTACTTCGGTATGGTCAGATAAAAATTGAATATATTATATTAATAAAAACTGTCAAAGTATAACTTCTACAAATCTGTATTTCAAATAATAAGAATACATCTAAATATAACCATTGTATTTATAGAAGATAGTAGAACAACCTTATGGACGTTTCATTGGAGGCAATTCTGTCGTGACATCTGTTAGAAATTCATCAAAATAGCTCGAACGCTAGCACTTCCTCGATCATTGAGTACAGAATTCTATATACATAAAATTTTCTTAATTTTTAAATTCATATGGGTAGAGTGCTAAATTTAAATTACTATTGTTTATATTCTCTAAAATGATAATAAATCGTAAATAAATGTTCAACAATCATAATTAAACTCGTATATTCCATTTTTAAAACAAATATTCTGAATCGATTATGGCCCCATCTATTAATAAATAGAGAAATTACGTTCGTTTCGAAGACGACAAAATTATCAAAGACATGACTTGGACACCACGGAGCTTGCTGCCATCTATTGATACTGTCCATTGTCCTCCAAGATAATTTGCATTGGTATTGTTTTACTAGTTGATCTAAATACAATGATATAACCAATATTGTTAAAACAAAAGCACACATTCTTTATAATTCCAAAATACCATAGAGTTCCCAGACCTCAGTCGAAGCATTCGTTTATCTAGGTATAAACCCTTTGCGCGAAGAGTAACACTTGCCAGAGACACGGGGTACCACTTGATTTGCATCCACGAGCGTGACACAATTCTTTAACAATTGAAGCCCTTGGTGTAAAAAGGATCCAAGCCACAATTTGTCGTGAAGTGACTGTTTTAGCTCAAAACATTTGTTAACGAGGATTTTACTAGCCATATATAAATTATTTTACCTCTAATCCGAAAGATGTGCTATTTTTCGTAATATTTATATTTAAATAATTTTTTTAATTATATTTGAAAGATTTAAAACAAATTAAAAATGTAATTTCCCAAAACTTACTTAATATGGCATGTGACCAACCTTATTACGCCAAGGTTTTCAATTTTTTCAATAATAAAAAAATTGTTTAATCCGGGCCCGACTTTTCCCTTGAATCTAACAGAGATAGCACCATTCCGTCTTGCTTGGTTCTCGACCGCCAGATCAAAGACGCCGACACGGAGTTGTGGAGCTGTATTGTATAAGCTGTGGTATTACCCTCTTTACAACCCATCATAATTCAACCAAATGATGACTCTAGTTCAGAGGATTCAGACTGCCATGATTATTTATAAAGATACTTTAGAATTGAATTGTTTTTTTTTTCTTTTGATTTATTTGCAGATAATTTATTTTCCTTTATGGTTTTTCTTTGAAATTTTGTTTTCCAGAAAAAGAACGAATGGGGTACAAAAAGGGTTCAGTTCACGTCTGGTACCCTGTTTAAACCAAACGCCCTTACAGGCAGGTACACTTTACTCGCTTTTTTACGTTTTATAATTTAATATTCAGTTGTAGCAAGTTAACGAGCTATAATGATTTTTTTTAAGTCCAAGTAAGATTACAATTAAGTGCATCTGTCTAAATAAGGGCGTATAATAATGTCCAATTTATAATTATTCGATTTCCTTTTAACGAATACTTTCTTGCATATGATATATATTAAAAGTATTAATAAAATAAATTTATAAAATGAGGTAGGTATCTACGCCTATGGCAGATCAAACAAAATTGTCGGTAAAGGTTCCGAACGAGTTTTTATGATCTGCAATTGATAATGGAAGAACTATACAATGTATTGAATACTTGCTTTGTTGCAAAACCGCTGGCTCAAATGTCGCAGCCTTAAGAAATCTGCAGGAATTCTTCTACAGAATAAAACGCATATTTAGCTAAATATTTAAAAAGTTTGGTTTTAAAAACATTATAACTACTATTACCCAAAGGCCTAGTTATATAGACCGTCAGATAGTGACCGATTTAGGTGCCCCATTTTCGCATGCAAGCCTCGAAGAGGGTTGAAAAATACATCGATGTAGAGTAGAATGAAAGAAAATTTACGAGTGGCTCTTGGGGATAACACATGGAAAATTCGATTTTCCTTATCAGAAAAATTTTCCGACCCCAAAATGCAATTGTACATTCGGGTCATTCAAAAAAATATGTTTTTCGAACTAGTGACGACGTACGTTTTCATATATTCGATGGGCCTGTGTGGAAAAATCGGGCAAAAACTCGATTTTTCCTTAGAAGATTACACCCTTATTTTAAGCCTTTAGCCACTTGCAACATTAAAGCCTTTGGTTTTCCGAAGCCTAGTTCTATTAATTAATCATATAGTGAAAACGGCTTGCGTGGAAAAATGGGTAACAAATAACCTTTCGTTTTTGTTAGGGAAAATCGAATTTTCCATGTGTTATCCCCAGCAGCCACTCGTAAATTTTCTTTCATTCTACTTAAAATCGATGTACTTTTCAACCCTCTTCAAGGCTTGCATGCGAAAATGGGGCACCTAAACCTGTCACTATCTGACGGACTAATATGATTAAAATAGATGATGCCCTGATAACCCGCAGAACCCTGCCCAATGGTCAGCCGGGAATATGGCAGTCTTAAATCATTGCCTCTCCGTGTGTTCGTGAATCATGTTATTTCGAATATATTGAGATTCATTTTTCTTAATGTTTAATTTGGTCAAATATATATAGAGACATGGCAATGTTAATATTTTCAAAGATTTATCATCTCTTTACCTACCAAAAGCCTTTCCAACGTCTGTCTCTGCTATATATTTTTTCTTATTTCCGCCTTTTTATTTCAGTTACGGAGAAGATGCAGCAGTAGCACTAAAAGATCCCAATTGGATTTGTCCTCCTTGCAGGGGCATTTGTAATTGTTCATTTTGTAGGGCTAGAGCAGGAAAAAGACCTACTGGAATATTAGTACCTCAGGCGATAAAAGCAGGACATAAGTCAGTCAAAGAATTTTTAGATAGCTTGAAAGGAAAAGGTGACTATTTTATTTTAGTGTAGTCAATATATTTATAAAAATATGGGTGACGAATACAGTTTAATTTTTTTTTAAATAATAGAAACCCCATTTTTTATGTGTCACAGCGTATGAAGGTGTATACAAAAAAAAATATAAAATTTATTTTAATTTAATTTGCCTTGATTTAATAAAAATAAATAAATTTTCATGGAATCCTAATTTTTCTCTATATAATTTTAAAACATTCTTTTATGAATATACAGGGCGGTCCATATTTGTGGAATATATTAATTATTGGCTTTATTATTACGTTTTGAAAAAAATCCTTGAACAGGTCGATTTTTATTTCTAAAATGACATTTTTTGAACAAAATTATTTATCTTCCACTTCAACCCCTTCGGAGTAAAAGTCACCCCTTTAACTTTTTTAAATAGAAAGGGGTAGCGTGTGATACCTCATTTTAAAGGGTTTTTAATTCCCTATTCAACAGTTTAACGCCGCTTGATTATTTTCTCTGGGGCCACTTAAAGGGCCACTCAAGTGTATTTAAATCGACCGGAAACTACTGACGAATTAAAAGAATCACCGAATAAATAAAAAAAATGGCCCGGACGTCATACAAGATGTTCTTCAAGAATTTAATAACCGCATTGGTTATTGTCAAGAAGTTAACGGCAGTCATTTTGAAAATTTAATACCATAAAATTGTAATATTATTAATAGAATAATTAAAAATAAAAATTAATGTTCCTTGAATATAAATGTACAAAAAACAAAAAATATACTCCTGAATAGGGAATTAAAAACCCTTTAAAATGAGGTATCACACGCTACCCCTTTCTATTTAAAAAAATTAAAGGGGTGACTTTTACTCCGAAGGGGTTAAAGGGGGAGATAAATAATTTTGTTAAGAAAATGTCATTTTAGAAATAAAAATCGACCTGTTTTTTCTCAAAACGTAATAATAAAGCCAATAATTAATATATTCCACAAATATGGACCACCCTGTATAGCGAAAATAATTTGAATAACTTTGGCTGTAATTATTATGATTTAAGTATAAACAAGCGGTTTGTTTTTAGGAGACTATGTTGACCCCTTTCGAGATCCTAATAAGTTATTGGGATTTACCAAAGACCTCCAGTACGCTCAAATGGGAGGTGGCCACAAAGAGTTTATAGGCACATCCTTTAATTTAACAAAGTTTACAGAAACAATAGAGTTATTTAAAAACAAGCTGTTCGAAAATAACGCAGAGAATAAAAGTGGTATGTATTTTTTATTAACATTTTTTGTTTTACCAATCTTTGACGAATTAACTTATTCAATTAATTCATACTAAAGTCTATTCAAATTTAATTTACACCTGATGTAAACAGAAGCAGGTGGATGCTAAAATTGAGCAGGGCCGTATTTTACTTTTCCGTCTTGCAAAAATGTAAAATAAAAGAGTGTAATTGTGAAATTATTTTTTTATTATGATATAAACATATTTTGTAAAGTAAAACTATAAAATAAATGCCATACACGGTCTCCCAGACTGTAGTGACATTTCTGGACGAAGATAGGTGATCGACATAAACTGCGTTAACCTGCAATACAAATTAATAAATGTATTTGACTTTAAAAGAGATGGTTGCATTATATTTAGTTCATTACATATGTCTACTGTGATACAGAGCATTAAAACAATCATATTATAAAATTATATTGTACAGGGTGTCCAAATAATTGCAAATTCTTTAATAGCTAATATACAGGGTGGCTCACGCTCAACGGGACGGAACTTTATGGGAAAACGACCAAAGATATAAAAAATTCGTTTGGGAGGAATACGTAGGTTACAGACGGCTACAATTTAAAATTTGTTAGATGTATACAGGATGTCCCACATAAGAAAAAAAAATTAGTTCATTAAAAATTATTCAAACAAGAGTAAACAATTAATTTCTGGGAAACTTTTTTTCCTTAAAAATTCAAATAAATCGAAAACTAATAATAATAGTAATAGGGAACCTTTAGTTAACTGACATTATTTTTGATGTAGTTTTTAATTCTAAAATAATATAACTTTGTATATTTTCTCTTATGTGGGACATCCTGTATACATCTAACAAATTTTAAATTGTAGCCGTCTGTAACCTACGTATTCCTCCCAAACGAATTTTTTATATCTTTGGTCGTTTTCCCATAAAGCTCCGTCCCGTTGAGCGTGAGCCACCCTGTATATGGGTATGTTTATCAACGAAACATTATAACTCAACATCAGTCAGGTTTTAGACGCCATCACAGCACTACTACTGCTCTTCTGTCTATTAGCGATGATATTTTTAAAGCAACCGATCAAGGGAAAATAACATGCTTGGTTCTTCTCGACTACAGCAAGGCATTTGATACCCTAGATCATGACTTACTCTGTAAGAAATTAAACTTTTTCGGCTTTACAAAAAATGCAGTCTCCCTCATATCAAATTATCTTAGTAATCGCACTCATAAAGTAATTTTGGATGACAACACATCAAATTTCCTACCAGTAATACAAGGGGTGCCACAGGGTTCAATTTTAGGACCAGTCCTATTTGCTCTGTACATTTCTGACTTCCATAGCTTTGTTCAAAATTGTGCGATTCACCACTATGCTGACGATACGCAGCTTTATCGTTCTTTTGACAAAGAGTCGCTGGGTAACTCAAGACTTCATCTTAATGAAGACTTGAATTCCTTATTTAATATATCTACTGCTCACAATTTAAAAATAAATCCGTCCAAATCTACAGCAATGTTATTTGGTGCAAAAAAAAATATAAAATCAACTATAGATCAATTACAGATTACAATTGGTGGCAATGTTCTTCAGTTTGTAAATGAAGCCAAAAATTTAGGACTGTGGATTGATTCCGAGCTTCAATTTACAAAGCACGTAAATTCATTGTTGCAAAGTTGTTTTACTGTTTTGAGACAACTATTTCCTAGCCGAGACTTACTTTCCACATACACTAAGCTAAAACTTTGTGAATCTCTTATTTTTTCAAAGATATTTTATTGTGACTCTATTTACGGACCTGCGCTATTTCAATATGACTCTCTACGTTTACAAAAAATTCAGAACTGTTGCTTGCGTTTCGCATATGGCATAAGAAAATTTGATCATATTTCACACAAAATGATCGAATCAGGATGGTTATCTTTAAATAACTACGGGACACTTCACTTATTAACATTAGTTCATAAGACATTAAAGCTTCAAAAACCCGATTATTTATTCAAAAAGTTAATAACGTTTTCAAATATAAATACATTATCTACGCGCAACAGAAATATCTTAGGGCCATTCGCACCGCTTTTACTTAGCATCTAAGTGACACTTAAGAAGGCATAACCGTTTGCACCGTTATTAAAGTTCCACTTATCAAGGCGTTAAGAATCACTTTACTAAGCCCAGAAATTTTTCAGCTTAAACCATTACTTAACCTTAAAATGTTTAATTTTTATAATTTTTAGTGATGTTGACTGTCATTGATTTATTAACATTTGTAAAATTGCAATACACAAAATGGAAATAATGGAAGATGATGAGGCTTTGAAAATGCTTGATTTCATTAATATAAGATACTACGAAGAATATAAAATAATATATACAAAAAACGATTACTTTTACACTGCGATTTGAATTGGCCGAAGAAAATTCTTAATTGCCTTGATGAAATTAAAGCAAATTTATAGTATCCTTATAATAAATATGTAGGTTTCAAACTCAAATATTTTTACAGACAACACAATTATAACCATTTTTATAAAAAGTGTTTTTTTTGTGAATCTTTTTTGTAAAATTAGCATTAAACTCATCCCCATCTTTCAACGTTAGTATGATTTCCATATTTTTTTTATATTAACTAATTGAATTAATACTAATTTTACTTTCATTATGGCTGTCCTTCGTGCTCTATTTTATTACTTCTTAGTTTATCTATTTTTTTTAAATAGTCCTGTGACACAAGAGAGAGTTTTTTCTCTTCTGCGCCTGTGACAATCTTAACTTTTGCTGCGTTCAGTGAGACATAACAATCCCAACCGATACCAATCGCTTTCGTTCTACGGTACGTATTGCTTTATATCGATCCATATCATTTGGGAGCGTTTCATTTTTGCGCTAGTTTCTGTTTCTATCAAGAAAGATGAGCCGGAAACCTCTTAAAATCAACCTAAAACGCCTAAAACCAATCGCTATTTACGATTGCTAGAAGAACAACCTGGTTGTGCATTAATGTGATAAAAATAATAAAAAAAATACTTAAATATTAAAATTATTGTACATCGTTGATGAAAACTCCAAGTGGCAAATAAACATATTCACTTTCAATTGAAAATGCTACGTTTCATTAAATTAGAATTATCGTTTGATACAAATTTAATTTTTGTAAATTGAGCGTACCGTTCAGTAAGCTGATCCCGCTACCCCAATCGCAGCAAGAATCCGATACACTCATTGAACGCAGCTTTCATTAAACATTCAAAATAAAATTCAAATTTGACATTATTTCTTCTTTTTCTAGAAAAATCTTGACGTTGCCAAATCAATCCGACACTTAATTAATCGTTGCTTTCTAATAGGCTGGTGCGAATTAAACTACGATAAGTAATACTTAAATAATAAGTTTCACTTTACTAAGGGGAAATTTATTCTGAAGCGGTGCGAATGGCCCTAAGTCATACCTAAACACCAATCAGCATTTTTTAAAAGATCATTTTCTTATGTAGCATCCAAAGAATATAACAAACTTGGGCCAGAAATTAGATCCTACAATTTAGTTAATTTTAAGAAGCGTCTAAAAGAATATCTAAGAATAGAACCATAAGTAATACAATTTTCCTACGACCACTTAGGAAAGTGACACATATCACACTATATAGACCTATGGAAAGTGCCCTATATCACACGCGTATGAATAAGAATTTACTTTCCACCCAAGTGAGAATATGCTACTTTCCGCAGTAGCTGTCAGAAAATGTCAAACACATAATTTCTATTTTGATCTATGTAATGTCCATATTAATGCTAAAATCGATATGATTGTTAAATTATTGTAAATTAGATCCTAGATATTTATCTTTAACAATTATTTTTAAAATAATTTTAAAATAACTAAGATATATTTGCTTTTTATTCTGGTTAAACACATAAGCGATTAGATCAATCAATTACCGTAAGGCCTGTTAGCTCAGTTGGTTAGAGCATCAACTTTGCAATTTGAGACCGTCCAACGACCGCGATCGAATCCTGGCTGTGCCAGAATTTTTTTTTTATTTTTTTTTTATTTTTTTTTATTTTTTTAGAAATTATGAAAATTTAATAAATACGATTATTGTTGATTATTTTTTTAAATACATTTTAATTATTATAATAATCTGGTTTTACATTTTTTGATGAAATTATTTTGTGGTCGTAGGAAAAATATTGTACATCACTTGTGTGAAAAGTGATTTTCCACACTCGTGTGATAGTCAATATTTCCCACTCGTGTGAAAAATGTCACTTTCCACACTCGTAATGTAATATACTATATTAACAACAATTCATGGCAACTTGTAGGATATGAATATTGATATATTGAATATATAAGTTAATTTGGCTTAAAAAAAAAAAATAAATAACCTGTATGTTTTTTATTTTTTTTTTTCCACGATTTAAATATGTATTTTTTTTTGTTAGGTTAAGTTAAAAAACAGTGAAAACTGAACTTCTCCCTTTCATCATTTTTAAATATGTCTTTCCTCGCATAATTTACTGTATATTTTCCTTTTTAAGTGATGAATAAAGTCCTGTTATTATTATTATTATTATTATTATTATTATTATATCTACTAAAAGCATTACAAAAACTTTAAATATAAGAGGTATTTGGTATTTGCTTTAAATTTGTGCATCTTAAAAAGAAACCTTTTGTATTTTTGATAACTTTTGTTCTTTATTGTTCTTGTTCTACTAGTATTTAGATTAGACAACTTGTACCCTGTATTATAGCAATCTTCCTTACTTGAATTAGCACTATTCTGAATCGGATAAATTAGACTTGAAAGGCTATCTTCATTAATCAAAATTACAAGTGGTTATACCTGAACCTCTATAATATTATCCAACTCCCACATTTTTACTTCAACTTTTTGGCGAACATGGTCGATACACTTTTTCCATTTTTCTGGAGAAATTAATAATATTACTTATTCACAAAGAATTTTAATGTCTCCAGATTTAAATGTTGAGTTTTTATCTGCTAGGTATTGTTTAACGTCAACCTAGATTAATTCAATAGGGTTAAGTTTACAATGGTACGGAGACATGCTGCTTAGCCATTTCATCTATTACATACCTATCATAATGTTTATGTTGCTTACCAAGTTTTAGAAGTTGGATCTTAAGCATTTGGTAGTCGAATTCAATTTTTTTCCCTTATAGCCATTTTTAAATATCACCTTTTTTAGACGTCGTAGATATTTTTTCAGCTTTCTCGAATAATAATGTAGTTATCTACTAATTTTGGTAGGGTGTTTGAAAACCACTCTTTGAACGATTCTCCACACATTTTTTCATGGTAGTCACCGGATTTTTAAACTCAAATACATAAAGTGCATTGGAGACAAAGCCTTCTTCACTTCCAATATGGCATATAATGAGCTGTTTTTACGCACATACCTGATGGGTTATTAAAACCAGTTAAAAGTTCATCCAAAAAGACTTGTCTGGATGAAAAAACCGACATATCGAAACATACTTTTGATTTGGTGTGGCCTGCGTTAATCCAAGTCTCATCAAGATAATATATTTTTTGCTTTTCTGTTCTGTACCGTTTTACTTTTTGTGGCGTAGGACGAAACAATTTAATTTTTGTCTAAAAGCAAACTATTTTTTCCTCGAGTTTTAAATTTAAAATTAAGGGTTTTGAAAAGCTTGTAAAACGTAGTTCGCTTAAAAGTAGACAAATATGGATCATCGTTGACTTCTTATAAAACCTTATCAATTGTTGGAAGTTAATTTCTAAAGAAGAATTGATGTACTTTGCGCCTTATTGCATTTTTATCAAAATCATCCACAGAGCCACTAATTTGTTTATAACTTAGCTTTCTTTTTGGTTCAGAAAATTTATGAATCTGCCTATACTCCTTCATAACATTAAAAACGGTTTTAGCGCACATCCCTGTTTTATCAGCAACTCTCCTTTCAACATCATGTACCAACATATCAGGGTTCTATAAAATTTATTGCTTATAAATATTTAGAACCATTTCTTTAGTACTGATGACTAAATGTCCCTTTTTCGGTCGCTTTTTAGAAGGAGTAAAAACATTTTTCTAGACTTCATCTGCTAATATCTGTGGAGGACATAGTGTCACGTAGCAGTTACAAAATATAGTCAATTAAATATCCATAAAATAAAATAAAAACTATTCAAACTAACAACAACCACAAAAACAAAAATAACACAATATATGTATATTTAAACTATAATGAATTATAATCAATCAAACATACAAATGTCCAAACTAACCAACACGGTGAATGCTACCAAAACGCCGTTTATAATTATCCAAATTGAACTGAATTCGACTCTGACAAAAAATATTTGCGCGTCGTCTAAATGACTAACGACCGATTAACCAATAGAAACGCAAAAAAAGTCACGTGAGCTGTTGCTGGATGGGAGAAATTGTTTTTGACGCGGCGTAAATGAAATCTGAATAGACTTTATCTGACCCGATCCCGCTTGACTGAAATTTTTCAAATCTTAATTATTAAAAGTGAATAACAGTTTGTTACTCGAGAGAAATTTTTCATACTATACCTGGCAATTTTTTTTAGTAATTTTTAATAATTTATATTAATTCAATTTATAATAATTTATAGTAGTTTTTGTTAATTTTTATTAATTTTTATTAATTAATTTTTATTAATTAATTTTTATTAATTAATTTTTATTAATTAATTTTTATTAATTAATTTTTATTAATTAATTTTTATTAATTAATTTTTATTAATTTTTATTAATTTTTATTAATTTTTATTAATTTTTATTAATTTTTATTAATTTTTATTAATTTTTATTAATTTTTACTAATTTTTATTAATTGCTATTAATTTTTAATCATTTTCATTAATTTTTAATAATTTTTATTAATTTCTTTAATATTATTATGTTTCTTTTTTTTATCTATTTATTTTTATTTATTATTTAGTTTTACGATACTCCCCATTTCCCCCTCCTTAAAATGTAAAAAACCAAAAACTTGAAATACGTCAATATTTAGTTATTTACTAATAATGTGTAGCTACAATTCCAAATTTCAAGTTCTTACCTTTAAAAAATCGAGTCTCATACAAACTTTCCCCACCCGTTTCCCCCCTAAATGTCTATTTATTACTGATAAGTAGCTACAATTCAAATTTTCAATTTACTATCTTTAAAAAAAGGGATTCACACATATAAACTTTCCCCCTTACTCCATTACCCGTCCTTACCCTCTTAACTCCTTGCCCTCTTAACCCCTTACCCTCTTAACCTCTTACCCCTTTACCTCCTTAGTTGTTTACCCTCTTACCCCCTTAATCCCGTCTCCTCATACCCACTTACCTCCTTATCCGCTTACCCCATTTACCCCTTTGTCCTTCTTTCTCACAAGTCTCCCATTTCCCCCCTTTTCTCGTTAAAATATGAAAATCCAAAATCCCTGAAACACGTCATTATTTATTTATGCTCAGTAGCTTTATTTCAAATCAGTTATTTTATTAAAAACTCATAGATTCTTTTACAGTCACCCTTAACTTATTTTTACTTCCCAATGAAGCAAAGCTTCTGACAGACAACACAAATTCATATATTTCTGCATTTTTACTGTTCAATACATTTTCATTTTACTCTTTGTGTAATAAAAATTTAATAATATGCTTTTTTATGAGATTAACAATGTTATTATGATTTAGGAGATGGTTCTAATTTAACACAAGATGATCCTGAAGCGTTGATAGGTTTTACAAAGGATCTAAATTATGCTGTCATGGGAGGCAATCGAAAATCGTACATAGGTTCTCACAGTTTATCTTATGAACATTAAGAAGTCGAAGAATTATACAATAGTGATAACAGTTAAGTACTACAAACCCAGAAAACAAGAATGTTGAAGTATTATTTTTTATATTTTTTTATGATCTGAAGTATTAGTTTAGAAATCGTTTATATATTTGGATTGACAATGTTACTGGTTTGTCATAAAGAAAATTGTATTTAATACCGATTATATTTCAACCCATTTTAAATGTTGATGTCTATAAAACTATCGCAGTTAATATATAGATACCTTAATTCTAGTATCTCACGATTTTTCAAAAAATGCGTTTTTGATATTATTAATCAATTATGTTCGATTATTTTGGATTAATCGATTATTTATTTTTTCGATTAATCAATTAATTGATTATTTTCGATTAATTTTGATCAATCGATTATTTGGCGGGTATTGGAGAACAGTGGAATAAGTCAAAAAAGTTAATTTTTAGACAATCGCTATTAAAATTTCTTGGATCTTATTATGCAGGCATTTGAATATAAGAAGTAGTATCCGTTTAAAACTTTCTCGCCTTTTTTTGTATGAAGCATTCTGAAATATTTGTACAAAAATATGGAATATATGAGTAGATTTAAAATTTTTGAAAAAAAAAGCATCATTTTACACTAAACTTTATTAAAGAAATAACGCACATATACCATGTTACCCTATACTTTATTAAAGAATAAGTAAACACATTTGCAGTTTAAGCCAAAAATAAAAGAAAATTCTAAGGACGAATCGAAAAAGAAAAAAGTCAATGAAAAAACTCTATAACCACTTGACTAGACCTATTCTCAATAGTTTTCTTCTTCGATACTTTCGTTGATATCCTGTAAGGTATTTGGTTTATCATCTTTGATTTTTAAATTCTTATAGAAGTCCTGAATAGGGGTGGGCAAAATAATCGATTAATCGATTAGTCGATCATTATATATTTTTTAAATCGATAATCGGTTATTTTCGATTAATCGATTATTTTCGAATAATCGATTATTTTCGATTAATCGATTATTTTCGATTAATCGATTATTTTCGATTCATCGATTATTTCCGATTAATCGATTATATCCGAATAAATTATTTTAAATAATCGATTATTTATTTTGATAATCGCCCAATGATTACATCGAACTCTTGTTCTTGAGTAAAACTTAGTTTCCTATTTTAATGCCAAAAAATGACAGACACAAAAAAAAATTATGGAAAAAGCCCGTTGTCCTCCCCTTATGAGATGCTTATGAACGCAATAGAAAAATTGATGTCATCGTCATCAGTTGGTTAAAAGTAACATTAATAACTTCAGTATTAACCCTAGAACAATGTCAACTCACTTATTGTGACATAACTGATACTTAAAAGTTGTCATAAAAATCACTAAAAATGGCCTTTTTCAGTAAATTTCTTATTTTACCAGATAACGTGGGATACAACTCTTGTTAAAAGCTTGTTATGACAAAATAATTATTAAATTAATATTTGAAGTAAACAAATAAATCTCCGTATATGGGCGGTATATCAAAGAGGGTGATTTGTTGATGTTTTTTAGATAGTTTAGCTGATTTCCGACGAGCAACCCGTACACCAATTTTTTTTGATGTCTTCAATAGGGGTGGGCAAAATAATCAATTATATATATTTTTTATATTCGATTAATCGATAATTTCCGATTAATCGATTATTTTAATTAGTCGATCATTTTAATCAATCGATTATTTTCGATTAATCGATTATTTTCGATTAATCGATTATTTTCGACCAATCGATTAATCGATTAGTTTCTATTAATCGATTATCGTTAATCGATTATTTTCTATTAATAGATTATTTTCGATTAATCGATTATTTTTTATTATTCGATTATTATCAAGTAATCGATTATTTTCGATTAATCGATTATTTCCGATTAATCGAATATTTCCGATTAATCGATTAATCAAAAATAATCGATTATTTTAAATAATCGATTATTTATATTGATAATCGCCTAGCCCTAGTCGTGAAATGTGTCAGAAATTTAAGCATAAGTTCCATCAAATTCTTTTTCTTTTTATATTTTTTGGTCATGTTTTACCTTTTCTTAAGTTAACTGTTTTAAACGGCTCATCTTTGTTCAAACTGGTTTTATTCTCAAGAATACCTGGATTTTGAGACACCCTTAAAGAGGTCCTTTCGCCACACCTCTCGCCTCAAATGTTAAAAAAAAGTTATTAGATTATGACTAAAATTAATTTTTTTCTAATAGTTGAAGTCCTTATTTATCTAATACTGAACTTTTAACTATACCTTACCTTGCAAATTTTTGAGAATTTTTTTTTTTTTAAAATGTGAGTATTTGTACAGTGTCTCACGAGAAAGTAAGTCCTCAACAACAATTCTCGAATTATACTATTATTTATTGATTAGATGGAGTAGAAAAAAAACTAAAAATAAGGTTTTTGAAATATTTAGATTTTGTTTTTTACAGGTTACCGTGGAATTTATTGAGAAATTATTATTAAAAAATCACAAAAAATTTTCAACTAGGTAACTTGAAAATTTTTTGTGATTTTTTAATATTAATTTCTCAATAAGTTCCACGGTTTACTATATATATTTTATTGTATAAAACAATCTAAATATTTCAAAAACCTTATTTTTAGTTTTTTTCTACTCCATCTAATCAATAAATAATAAACACACACATTTTTAAAAAAAAATTCTCAAAAATTTGCACGGTAAGGTATAGTTAAAAGTTCACTATTAGATAAATAAGGACATCTACTATTAGAAAAAAAATTATTTTAGTCATAATCTAATATTTTTTATTTAACATTGGTGGCGAAAGGACCTCTTTAACCACTGTATCTCCTTCCAAGATAGTTGTTCTTCAGAGTCAGTAACTTTCCTATGTTGTAAGATAGTTTTATGTAAAGACAAAAATTCAAAAAAATCTCTTCTAGACATTTTAGTATCTGAAAAAAGGTTTCTTACTCCCACACAATTTCACCAAGTTTATCCAGTCTCGTGGATGCTCTATTCGACAAGGGTATCTTTTCTTTTTTCCGACACACTCCATATGTGTGTGTACAGGAATGAGACATCGTCCAGATCGATTTTACTTAGGGACATTTTTTTTTTGTACCATCGTATGTGGGACGGTTAGTTTATTTTTCGGCCAAAATATCAAAGATTCGCTTTCATGACATGAACGTCTGTATGTTTTGATTTTTTGAGTCGCTGATATCGAATATGACATTAAAAATTATAAATACAAAATGTCGGATCCAATATGGCGTCCAAACATATTAAAAATTGCTTTTATTTGTAAAAAAAAATACAACTAAAGGTCGCTGATTTTGAGTATTTTATTAAAAATTATAAATGCATAATGACGGATCGAATATGGCACCCGAAAATGTTAATAATTGCTTGCCTGATTTATGCATGTTCCTATTATACCTTGTTTAACTCATTGTAAGGTATATTTTTCGAATTAAAAATTATGTAGGTACTTGTTTACCAAAATGTTAGTGACATTGACGTAAACGCATTTAAAAATACAAAATCGGTTAAAAGCTTTACTAAAGGGCTTCAAAGATATAAAATCGGTCAAAATATAATCAAGTATTTAAAATTTAAATAGTGTATTATATAATAATGTGTTAAGTTGTTTCTGTAAAAAAGGTTGCCTTCTTTTGTTAATTCCATACTTTTAAATGATTAAAACCTCCTTAGAAGAGATCAACTAATTTTTTTGACATTCCCTTTGTAGATATAGGGACTAATATTTTATTTGCTTTTGTTTATAAGATTTTTTTTTATACAGTAAATGTTTTAAGTTTTGTATTGTTTTTTAAGAATAAAATATTTTGATATGAATGTAGTTGTATATTATTTTCCTCGCCAAAATAAACGAAGCATTTTTCTTTTTCTTGGGGATTAAGTTGAAACCAAAAAATAAAGCATTAATAATATAGGCAGTGAGTTGGAGGGATAATCTCACGAGCTGGTCGGGAAACATTTTAGTGTCAGTTTTTTTTTTAATATTTCTAAGAGAAGTAAATAGGTAAGTACATGTAGTTATTTTTATTAATTAATATGGGTCATAAAACACGAAAATTTATGGACCACATCAAGAATGTACTGAATTTTTTTTTTTTTTTCGTGAAATTCGGTAGCACTTGTAGTGTAGTCCAATGCAGCAAAAATGATTAACAGGACTTTGATAAGTATAAATAGTAGATAACAGAATGGAAATTAATTTTCCGTTCGCCTAAATCATACAGTCACTCGATTAAGGAACTTACTTTTCCCGCCATTTTTAATAGTTATTTTCCTAACAAGTGCGGAAAGTGTTACTTTCCCGCACGCGACTGCAGTTGGCCCGAACGACGCGAAGCGGAGTTCGGGCAAGCGGTCAAGTGCGGGAAAGACACTTTACGCATGAGTTAGGAACATTATTTTTTCTACGACCGTATATACAAAAAAGTAGGAAAAATTATTTTATTTCAACATATACAAATCTTTAAATAAAAACAACTAATTATTATGGATATTAATGTTAAATACACAATTTGTAGCATTTTGTAAATTATGTAAAATTGCCGGTACAGAGGAATTAGTTGGTGTTAATAGTTGGAAAATACTAAATTACCTATTGTAACAATAGTTATAACATCCGAGGTAAAAAAACTATACAATAGGTAAGGCCAAATATTCATAATTTTACTTTCCCGCACTAGTGCGGAAAAGTGATTTTTTCCCGCACTAGTGCGGGAAAGTGACACTTTCAAAACTAAAATGCGTGCGGGAAATTGGGTAAAAATACACGGTCGTAGAAAAAATACTTTTTCGCTCTTACCAAAAGTTTATACACGAAATTGCAACTTTCGGTACTCGAATCTGTATCAGGATAACAAGAGCGAAGAGGTTATGGAAATTAATTTTCCGTTACCCTAAATCATACAGTAACTCGATTAAGAAACCTAATTTTCCCGCCATTTTTAAAATACTTTTTCGCTTTTCTGTTATCCTGATACCAAAAGTTTATACACGAAATTGCAATTTTCAGTACTCTGATATTTGCATCAGGATAACATGAAGAGCGAGGAGTTTATGGAAATTAATTTTCCGTTACCCTAAATCATACAGTCACCCGATTAAGGAACTTAATTTTCCCGCCATTTTTAAAATACCTCCTCACTCTTTTGTTTTGAAAAAAAATTTAAATTTCGAAAAAAAAAATTGTTTTTATTGCGTGGGTCGATAGAGCTTCCCTACGAACTTCATTTTAGGGCCTGCCCCGTTGTCTGTCGATTTTGCTCTATCTCTTACCGTTTCCGAGATATTCGCGTTTGAAGTTTTTAAACTTGAATAGTGCCTAAACTGCTCAAGATAGAGACGAAAGGGAAACAGCACCCTAATGTATCTGCCCTGCTCTACATCTGTGCTTATTTACAAAGTAATTGAATAATTAGTTACTGAGAAAAACGAAGAAAACATTAAACGGTTATAGAAATGAAGCAACCGAGTCCACCCTGTAATTTGTCATGCTTTCTTTTATAGGTTTGTTCCAACACAATAGCAAATCGGTTTACGTACTGTCGGGATTCTGCGCAGTCTAGATTTGATGTTCCAACAAAGCTCGGACTCAAAACTGTACAATATTCTAGTGTTCCAACATACTCAAACCAAATCACAAACCAGTTTCTGTACTGTCAAATCAGTTCCTGGGTCTGAATAGGAACGAATTGTCAAGACATGCGCAAAACGAAAGTGAGATCGTAAATAAATCTCGACCAACTCTGGAAATGTCGTGATTATATTCGTTTTGATAGCATCATCGATCATAGTCTCGATCGTTATTTGATTTTTATTCATTATCATTATTTATAGTACATTATTGAGTATACAAAGAAAGAGTATTGAGTGTAGAAAGTGAAAAGGACTATTATTCTGACTTAGATACAGTAAAAAATAAAATAAGTTAATGTACTAATCAGTCGAATAATAAAAATTTATAAATCTTTTAATGAGTTTTAATTTTTTTATTTACCAAATTTAAAATTTAATATCTGTTAATGTTTTTTTTTTACGTTATTGACAGTGTGTCTGACAACAGAAACATGTGTTCCAACATAACCAAGTTCCGAATTTAGTCCCAATCATCGACAGGTCGTGGACAGGTCGTCGACTATCAGTCGTCGACAATAAGTTGTGGACTGGTTTGTGTATGGTTCCAAGATTGTTGTTGGAACAAACCTTATATGTACCCAAATTTGCATCAAAATCTGAGGAAAAAAAAAATTTACCAACAAATTTTGAAGGCACCCTTTCGATTTTTCGTGAAAAATTCATGATCTCCGATTGAGCTGAAAATCGGACAGTGGATAGTATGCGTTCTAAAACGTTAAGAAAAACAGTCCGTTTGTCGCTAACATAAATGGTTAAAAAGTAGAGGCTTGTTTTGTAATAATTAGCAAACTTAGGGAACTGCATCTGACTTTCTTCAAACGTACTTACCTTCTACTTACTGCATACAATGTTTCGTCCAAATCGAAGCACCTTTTTCCAACTTTCAAACTAAGACCGATATTGAGTAACAGACACCACTCCGACATTTAGTTTTACATCCTGAATCTCTGTACCAAATTTCAGCGAAATCCGAGACGAAAAAAAATTATACAAACATTTTTGAAGGCTATACCCTTTCGATTTTTCGTGAAAAATTCATGGTCTCCGATTGAACTGAAAATCGGACAGTGGATAG